TATTTCGTGACTTAAAGTGGTAAAGAGAGACAGAAGATGAGAAGAGAAGAAGGACATAAAATAGGAAAGACTGAATGCCAGTAGAAGTACTATGATAGAGGGAGAATATGGAAAAGCAATATTAAGTGAGTGCATGAATTGGAAAGAGGGAGAAATAAGAGAGACGAGAGAGGAAAGTGAAATACACACACACACACACACACACACAAAGTCAACAGGGCAAAGGAGAATAAATGAGAGACCGTGTCACTGCCTTAATTACTACTTCCAAAACTAGGCTGTCTTGTACAAATATGCAACATCACAAAGTTTTTTTTCTCTGAAAACTCAATTGTGTGAGGCACAGTAAATCAGCTCTTGTTTCAAGACATCTTTATTTGCCCAAATGCCACGTTGCAAATTAAAATTAGAATAAAGTATGACATTAGATAGAACAAAGCCTTATCAAATTTGTTTCCAACTTGTCCTGCACTTGTATCCAGATTTCATTTTGCCACGGGTCTAAAAAAGAGAAAAAAGTCAGCCCCTTTAAGTTTAAAGAAAGCTAATAAAACTACATTAAAATTTTCATTACAAATTTTTTAGTAACGTTGGCCAATCTCAAGCCTACTGGCTATGTATCCAGGATCATTCAAGAACAATGGTGACTGAAGGAGACTCACCTGTCTGTTTACTTCCCTTAGCACTTGTAGCACGTGCACGTGAACCTGTTGCAGTAGCCTCCGCAGTTGTCAGGTTTAGTGTTATACCTGCAGTGGTTATGACATCGATTCTGATCAAATGGACAGCCAAACCCAGCGTTTGCTTGGTCGACCACTGGAATAAGAAAAGCATGGCTGCTGTATTTTCATCATAAAACTAAAAAAAGGACTTCATTGTCCTGTTTGATATCTGCACTTGCTATAAACTGGCGGATTTAGAGGGGGTCAGGGGGTCCTGTCCCCCCTCCCCCTCTTCGATTTCTAAAAATATCACACCAAAGTTTCCCTCTTCAAATTAGAATTTTGACTAGCTGTATTATAGTTCTAAACCGTACTAAATGGCACTGTTAGCCCTCTAAAATACCAATTATTTTCGCCGACCCCCCTTCAGCGAGCCCTGAACCCCACGCCAAGGGGGGAGGGTCAGCTTCGCATCCGCGGACCCTCCACACCTTCAAATAATCCTGGATCCGCCCCTACTATACACGTGTCCTTTGCTTAATACCAAAATGAAGTAATAAAAGAAGTCTTGTTAAATAGCGTATATTATTTTCGTTCCTCTAGTGCCACTTCATGAACACTGACAGAGGTACTTACCCAATGAAAACATCAAGACAATGGCGAGGAATGCGACAACCTTCATACTGATGACGTTAATTCACAATAGCGTGCTGCAAATTAATAGAATAACATATTTATAAACAGAGAAACACAATGACCAAATTAATTGTGTACAATAATTATTTTAGGTCTTAATGGGGTGTTCTGTATTTCTGGCTTTTGCATTTGCCGTGATGGATAAATTAATATGTCTATAAAAATTGGTAGAATAATTACACGACCTCCTTTATGTTTTGCATTGACTAGCAGCTGCTGATGTTTCTCCTTCTTATTACAGTTGTCTTAAATAGTATTTATAAGTGATGTACATGTATCAAAAGACAGAGTTAAAATGTCTACAAGTCATACATGTATTATTGCATTTACTTATATTCAAAACATACCAAAGAAACCCCGCAATACATTTGCAGAGCCCGACCAAACCACTGGACCCATCAATTTATTAATATAACTTACAGTTTTAAAACGGTTTATTTGGATAATTTTGTTAGTAATTTGCATTTTTTTTCTATTCTGAAAATACTAATTACTCCTCCGTAAAATTATTACACCATTTGCATTCTCATATACTGATAAATCAATGTCCTTTTTTCTTAAACTTTTCATCTTTTATTACACATTTCTCTCAACTGATGGCACTTAGAAGAAAAGGATAAAAATATAAACGTTTTAGACTGTAAGAATACCCTCTAGAAAACTTGTTTCCAACTTTTTAACAAATGTTAAAATTAAAATACGCAATTTTGCAATATAAATTATTTCACGTTTAGTTTAGTCACCGACTAGAAATTGACACAACCCCACAGATCTACTCAGCTTAACCGATGCTCCAACCAGTCAATTGTTTGCACAAGTGTTAAACATTGTCCTCCTTTCCACTGAATCAATGGCGCCCAAGAAGATTATTTTGAAAATATCTAAGTGTTTGCACAACGTGGAATATTATACAGTAAAGGTTTGAATATTGAAGTATACTTTAGATTTCAGTGATTTAATTTTTGTAATAAATTGCAACATTGTCTAGTGACCAAAGCGGGTTAAAGGAAAATATAGCTTTTTAAAGCTCAGCAAGGATTTTTTGTTTGCTTCGACCTAAAACTTGCTAGGTTGTCTTAACCGTTTAGAAAATAAAGAGGTACTGACTCTGCTTTTAAAATCAAAGATGATCTAACCGGACTTACTGTGTCACAGCTTGAACAGCAACCTTGAAAACTACTGGAACGTGTAGGTTGTCTTGTACATTTAACAAACTACAGTAGCTCTTCAAAAATGCAATGTTGCAAAGTGTTTTACTGAAACTCAACCGTGTGAAGCACAAATAATAACATAGAGATAACGAAATCATTAAACTAAATAATATTTGACTTTATGAGCTCATTGGCCGGTCTTTCTACGTTGCTTTGCCTGATATCAAAAGTTTAAAAATCTCAGAAATAACTAAATAGAGTTACATTATATCTCTATCTATGATGATTTTCAGTCAATTCACAAATACTGAGAGGTACTAACCCAGAGCAAACATCAAGACAACGGCAAAAAAAGCCAATCAACGCGACAATCTTCATACTGATCATGTAAATTCCCAATAAAGGGAACTGGAGGAGGATTTGCCTGAAGTGCGCGTTATATGACGTCAAGTGGTGTAAGACGTGAAGCTGCCTGGTCATTTTTAGCGGGAAGTAGACAGCGTGGAGAAGCGACTGTGAAATTGAAGCGGATTTTCTGGCAGATGATTTTTCTGCTCAGAATGCCGAAAGACAAAAAATATTATCTTATCATGACGTCAGAAAATCTTGCAACTTCGCACTCGCGGCTCCACACCGTATCCCTTTTATTTTTTGCCCTAGGCCAGGTTTCATTACAAGTTGCTACAAGTACAAGTGTATCTGACAGACATGCATACATTCTTACCTTTTGCTATCTCCTGTAATAATTAAGCTTCAGCGTACAAGCTGCAACCAAATCACGGATAGAGAACAATGTGCAAAGAAGTTAGCTTTTATAGGGTGAATACAGCTATTACATTGATTAGCTTACATAATGTGAAAGGATCATTAGATAAATCATCTGAAAACTTATCAGCTCTTTTTGTCAATCTTTCCCTCGTTATGTCAAGATTGTAATAATTAATTAAAACATTGAAGATTACTTTTATAGATATCAAAATTACAGGATAATAAAGCTATGACCTTGATTTACTAACATGATGTAATAAAATCATTAGATGAATCATCTGAAAACTTATCAGCTTTTGTTTGTCAATTTTCATCTCGTTATGTCAGGATTGGAATAATTAATTAAAACATTGAAGATTATTTTTATAGATATCGAAATTACACTGGTTGTACGCCAAGGTTGTAATAATTAACGTGCTTATAATGACAGAGTGAAAAGTTTTTTTTTTTTTTTTTTTTTTTTTTTGAGATACCACAATTCGTAAACAGCTTGCAACGTCTGCAAACTTCCCAGGTCTTGTTTTTTTAACCTCCACGTCGTGTTGCCAATCCCGTGATAATCAAAACAGCATTGCCCCTGTTTTAACCCAATTATTCAATATGTAAAAAGTGGAAAATGTTAACTACATCATGAGGTGCAGTTTTTCTCTGTTCTCTTCATATTAAAACAGAATTTACGAATGATATTATTAAGATAAATAAGAGAGGCATAATATGCATGACGTAATAAATGCTTGCAATTAAATCCTGTGAAAGTTCATCAAATCTTATTTGTTAATCTCCATCACGTGGCGTCAGGGCTGTAATAACAGACCCGTATCCACCAATTTCAAAAGGGGGGTTCTTTTTCTGAAAAAGTGGACATTTTACCATAAAAACTTCATGCACCTAGATCAAATTTTACCCAGAGTGGACCTTTTTCCAGCAAAAGGGGCGGTTCCCCCCTCCCCCCCCCCCCCCGGGCCACGGGCCTGAATAATTAACCTTTGCGATTGTGATTGTTCTTAATCACAGACTGCTGACAGAAAAAAGTTTGAAACAACCCGTGTATTCTATACCGGCATAGAGTAATAGAGTAAGAAACAAATAGAAAACTTTTTCCAAGAAATTGTCAGCCAAATCTCAATAAGTTTATGTAAATAATATAGACTGACAATGTAGACTTGTTGATAGAGATATGACAAATACTTTGCTTTCAAATCGACAGATAAACGCTTAATACCCTAATAAACAAAATGCAGCAAAACCCCCCCCCAAAAAAAAAAAAAAAAAAAAGCAAGCGACAAAGGTTTTGCAAGTCTTTGCAAGAAGAATTACAGTTGCTGCAAATTTGTGGCACATTCGCAGGCAAATTAAAAGTTTGAGGAAATTTACAAGAACCTCTTCATTTGCTTAAATGTTTGCAACAAGAGAGTCGCGTGTGTCTGGTGACATAACCAGTATGTGTTGCAACTGCAGAGAGCGATATACTGAACTTTTGTACAATTTTGGTTCTAAACTTTAAAGGAAAAATAAACACCAAAGTGTTAAAATCATCATCAAATAATAAAATGAATCATGCCAGTGTTGGTAGTTGATTGTCATTATTTATATCTTTACAACACTAGTTCAAATTCAAGAGCTGATGTTTTAATGTGTATAGGCCAACAGAATTGCTCACATGTACACCACAAAGGTGTAAAAGATTTATTTATAATGTGGTGTCATTTCCATTAATGTTGCCATTAACACACTGAACATGTCATTAAGCTAGGGCGTCTAAACGTTAAGGTGGCAACTCGAGCAAGAACAGTAAGACCCCGGTTGATAAGCTCAAACCTTACCAGTACACGACAATATGGCGGCCGTCTTTTGGTGTCTGGTGGGATTATTGTTCGTAGGTTTTGTTGTGGCACAAGATACAAAAGACGCTAGTAAGTTATTTTTTATTTACTTGAGAGAGAGAGGGAGAGAGAGAGAGAGAGAGAGAAAGAGAGAGTTCACATAGATTAATTTATTACCTCTGCTACACTACCGTATTCTTTCAGATGAAATGAATGGAGATTCACACTGCGAGAATCGTCAAAACTATTTCATGATACTTATGCGTCGATTATCCTTTTATTTATTTATTTATTCATCCATTTATTTGTCTTTTTGTGTTTCTTTTTAATTCGCAGTTCTTGAGGAGGGAACCTGGCATACTTATAACATATCTTTTGAAAACAGTTTTGTGCCGTTTGATATCAGATTAAACAAACTGTTTTACATATAGACGTACACTATAACATATGTGTAACTCTTTGATTTGGCAGTTGACACAAACATCTGTATCCTGGAAGATGATGAGCTGGAACATGAAAACAGACACAAGGTTGTCATGTCGGACTGCTCTAAGTTCATCATGTGTGACCATCAACGCCCGGTGATCAAGGTAAGCAACATGGAGGCCAACTTCAACCCCGTCGGATCTTTTTTTTTTTTTTTTTTTCTAAGTTCACTAATAACGGAGGCAAAGTGCATGGAAGCATTATACCGGTATGATCTAAATGGCAGGACAACGATACTAAGTTTATCGTTCCTAAAAAATCTGGACTTGAAAACTCGAATGTGGTCTTCAAGGTTGCTGAGTGGTTTCAGGTCGATCTGTTATACATGTATTTATTGATCTTTACGCCGATGTAAAGATTTCATAGCTAGTTTTGGATACTTTTACTGGGTATTACGCAGCGACTGTTCGGTCGAAATATAGTTATTATTGCTATATTAATTCATTAATGATACATTAAGCCATGCATCGATTAATTTCTCCATTCTATCATTTGTTATTTATCTATTAATTCTGCTTGATGCGTCTCCTGTGAGTGCCATACATACGTGAAAAGTTCCGGTTGAGGAATCGCGAGGCAAACCACAAACTTGATAATGGCCATCAAGAGAAATTTTAAAAGTTAATCTCAGTGACGTCATGTCACGAGTCTTCAATATGTCCTCTAAACTGAGGTGGGAGAAGAAGATACATTATGCATTAAGTCTATTAATTTATTTATTTAATTACTTTAACTTTATTTATTTATTTATTTCCTTTTTGTTTCTTTTAATTTTATAAGAAGACAAAAAGGGATGCACTCGTTTTATGATTCCTTTCATATCTTCCAGACATGTCCGAACAACACGTTATTTCACCCGGAGAATTTGTACTGCGACTACTGTGTTAGCATAGACTGCGGGGAGCGACCAATACCGGATGACCACTGCGGACGTAAGTGACCAGTTAATACTGGACAGTGGACAGCTAGTGGGGAAAACTGTTGACAGTGAACAAGTACAGGGGCTGTTTTATCAGGAAATTACTAAAGCCATTTGTTTATAGTGATATGACTTTAAAACTAATGATTTTGCCTTTTATGAACTAGTACATATTATCAGTAGAATGTCGAAAATGTTAACTTCAATGTTCAAAGGACATCAAATAAATAACCAAGGTAATCGTTTTCCTTACAGCAATAGGCAGGTTTGAGTTTACGGAGACCAATGCTACGACCACCCCCAGGCCCACCGTAGACCCGGAGCTCTTTGGAGGTATGTTTGGTAAATAGCGGCCTCTACGCGTGCACGTGAGTGCATGATTGAGTGTGCGCACGTTTGTTTGGATAAGAATGCAAATGGTACCTTACGCAAACTTTTTAAGACTATTTATAATGGAGTGTGTTTATTTGTTATGGTGAGTCTTCATTTGTTATGGAGTGTGTTTATTTGTTATAGAATGTGTGCGATTTTTTTGGTTTGTCTTTTGGGTCTTTTTTTTTTACGAATTTATATAAATCAAAGTTTATATTTAAGAATACAATTCTGCAGAGCTTTTGGCCTTGACGTTAAGCCGAGCGCACACGGAGGGCTGTCGGCTGAGCTGTCCGCTCCGCAGGGGTCACTGTGTTCGTTCGTTCAGCGATTTTTTTTTTTATTAAACTCCTGTTTCAAGACGTACACCAAACCTGGAATATATGCAGGCACAGGACCTAACTGAACCCCTAGCTTTAAAACTTTCTCAAAAGTTTTGCTGTCCCTCCTGCTGTTTGCAAAATTACCAGCTAGTAACTGGCGCCAAGGAGTTATAACTGTTATAACTCCTTGCTGGCGCTTACAGTGTAAAGGGGTGAAGTCAGTCTCACGCACACAGTAACCTGACGGGTCAGCCAACGCATGGCCAGAAGTAGCTCAGCACGTAGTCCGCAGTGTGCGCCGGTCACATCTCTGTAATTTAGCTGTTCATGTTTCCAGAGCAGTGTCAGGACAGGCAGCGCCTCGTGCGGTTCTCAGTGAAGAATGACAGCCACGCCTACATCCGGGTATATGATGGTATCTACGAGGTCGTGTCTTGTGGACCGATGGAGTTCACTGTCGCCACCTGTGACTGTGCGAGAGGTACACAATAGAACTTATTTTCTCTCGTTATTATTGGTAAAAAATGTATATGAATAGAGAGTTAAATGTGTTTTTAAAGAAATTAGATGTGAATTAATACAACCTCTGTCTAATAGCTATTTTCATGGGAAATTAAATGGATAAACAGGCACTCTTAAGTCTGCATGCTGTGAATGGGTAATTTTAGAATTTGAACTGGAATTATCTAAAGGTATTTTTTATCGTCTCAGTTCAAGGAAAAGAAATTCTTTACGACTGTGAGGGGTCAGTACTGAAGTCTAGTAGTGGCAAGGTATGGACAGGGCTGTATGGGTTTATAACACTGGTGAATGGTGGACCACCGCGAGATGTCGGCACCGTCTGCAAGCTTGCAGGAGGAGCGCACCTCGAGATTCCGCACTTCATGAACCGCGCTTTCCGGCGTTTTACTGCAGCCTTCTTCTACAAGCGTGATCCTCAGTTGACAAACCGGATGGGGTTGGTCAATAACGGACAGGAGGAGATCCGGCCGTCCATTCAGATCTACTCTGAGCCTAACAGACTGGGCGGCGAGGTGGTGACCGAGATAGACGAATATCCGTTCCTTATTGGGGACGGGGTAAGATTACTTCATATTCCGCCTTTGAAGTAAGCGCAGTATATGAGCAATAATGTTCATTAGCTTGGTAGATGGGTCATTAATGAAATTTATTTACCACAGGTTTTATTTCTCACCGCCAGCTTAAAGCAAATAATAATAATAATAATAATAATAATAATAATAATAGGCCTAATAATAATAATAATAATAATAATAATAATAATACGGCTTGTGCTAAGTAATTTTTGTTTATTTTTGTACAGTATGTTTACTGTTAAGTCCGACTTTTCAACTTAAGTTGCAAATGAAGATATTCACATCGATATTCAGCTTTTTGTCGGCGCCAGAGCGCTGTCGTTCTTGTGCCTAAAATGTGATTTTTGCACCTTTTTTACGCGTTTAATAGTCTACGCTAATGTGCAAAATGAAATGTAGCACATACGTTATAGACAGCACAGTCGCCGAAATAAATTAGTATATTATTGCTCTATGAAGTTGACTGTAGTTTAGAATATAACCCCTGTTCCAGGCTCGTCCAGTGGGTGACAACATCTGGCACCACGTGGCTTTTGTATTCAACGGAACACATTACTTTATCTATGTGGACGGAGAGGAGCGCCATACAACGGAGATCATTGGTATATTAATCCCTTGTTTTTGTTCTTTTAATGTCAATATTGGTAAAAAAAAATAATATAATTCAGAGGGATCTGTAATACATTTAAATTCTCCACCACATTTGTGTTAAGTTACCTGGGCACTACTAATTAACTGCAAGTAGAATACAGTATCATTGGCCACGGTCGTAGTGATAAAAATATTGCAGCAGCAGCGGCAGCAACAGGAACTGTGGTACTTAGTCGTCGTCGTCGTCGTCGTAGTAGTAGTAGTAGTAGTAATGGTATAAGGGCCGCTCAGTCCTCGTAGAGTAAGTGCGCACCAGCTATTGCCCCTTAACTCATTCTGGGACCCGTAACTCCAAAGCATCGCGTATTGCGAATAGCGATATCACATAGAGGCTACAGTGTATTAATATATGGGGCGCGTTATGGAATCGAGACGCTTGCGCTCGGTCGCAATGCGCGATGTTTTTGGGTTACGGGGCCCTGAACGGCCTGCATACATTGTAACAGAAGTAACTAACAGAAATGATATTTTTATCTTTCCAAGGATTTCCTAAAAAGCTGAAAGGTTCCCCGATGGTGATAGGCGTAGATCGTTACTCTGACGTCACACTGGGACACGGAGACACGTTCTTTAAGGGATTGCTGGACAACGTAAGTGTGCTCTCTCCATACAGAGATCTCGTTATCAAAAGACACGAGTATTGAACAGTCTTAAATAGATGCATGTGTAAACGGATAAAATACTCACGACATAAATGTAAATAATAAGACGAGGACTCCACAACAGTACCAAAAGATTGGACATACTTTTTAACTGATCTCGGTATTTCTAAAAATATTTTTATGATTTTCAGATTGTGTTCTACGATGTTGCTTTATCGCCTGACGACATTCAAAACCTGAGTGACGGGCAGTACGTGCGATCACCTGACCCTGACCAATACGTCAACCCCTGGTCCCACATGTTCCCCAACTAAATAACACGTGATCAACTAAACAACTCGTCATCAGCTTTATAACACGTGATCA